GCTGAATATATTTGGCATAGTAGAAGCATAGCACAGCACATTTTATCACATAAATGCTGAAAGGCATGGTGGTCAGAGGCTGACACACAGCTGCAATCAATTCAAGCCTAGGAACAGCCACTGCTTTGAGTATAACGTGCAGGTCATTTCAGGGCGAAAATTTCCAACATTTTTAATGCACAAGTAACTTAAGTTCAGCGCAATGTCACTTGGCCTCAATTTGGAAAGCAAGAGCGCTGAATTAAGCACACCCATCCATGTTAAAAAATCATATGTTTTAGGATCCTATAGGATTTAAAGGAAAGCTTGTCTTTGAAATGTCGGGGGAGTGAATGGGTTTTTGTAAACTGGCTTGTGGCATCTCCTTTTTAGAGATGAACACAAAAAACTATATCTCTGATATAGGGTTTATTTTTGTCACTCTTCCATCCTCCTCAAAGCTCTTTCCAACTAATCAGATTACTCCCATGGCTCATACAACCACCTTCTAGGTCCTGAAATATTGCATCTAACCTCCTGTGCTCTTCCTTGTCATATGTTTGTTTATTGTTATATGTTTTATGTTGTTCATATGTTTGTTTATTGTTTGTTTATTGTTTGTCATATGTTCAACCTCCATATGTCATATGGAGGTTCAAATTGGTGGGAGTTTATCCAGTTCATCGCGTTCATCACCCTTGTAACTATATTTAATATGCCATTCAAATGGATGATTTTATACTAGTTATAACTATATTTCTTCTCAAATTGAAGTAAACGACCCCTTTATTTATATGTAGCCGTATGGGCATGATGTATGCCTGAATATACACCATACAATAAATTTACCGCATTTGATTCTCTCGTGCGCCTCTTGCCTATAGCTCTAAATTAATCCCAAAAGTTACTGACGGATTTTTTAGTGTTCTTTGCTTAACGTGGTTCCATCTGCGGGATTCGCTCTTCTATTCCAAGATTCTTTCCGCTTTGACGTCTGCAAAATTACGCAAGTTGTTAAGTGTACAGTTGCGAAGAACGTCAGTCACATAGGTAACACAATAGTAATAGCCTTACTGCTCGGAGAAAAACCAGGAGAGTGGAAATAAAGAGTTGTTCTTATTCCGGCAACTTGTTTTTATAAAAAAAACAAATAGTAGACGTGAATTCAAAATTGTATGCCAACGATCCTGCTCGGTTTTTAAGTTGTCTTTTTAAAACAGAGAGCCAGTTTTTACAGCACACCGACATTCAGGGGATTATACAAGGAACAATTGCCAGCCATGACTACGATACAGTGCATATCTAAGTCAGAGTCAGAGTACAGAATAGATAATCAAATATAGGATCGTTTAGTCTCAAAAGATTTAGGTACACCTTGTAAGGCCGCTGACCTACGACACAATCAAGTCAAGGCATGGATTCAGCGAAGACAATTTCTAGGTAATCGTTCAATCTGATACAGCAACGAAGCGTTTGACGTAGCCATTTATCTGTGTAATAGATTTCTAGGCAACAAAACAGTTGAATTAACACATTCTATTGACCTAGGATCAGGTATGAAGATCAGACAAAGGTCAAAACCAGCCTGTTTTATCGCTCCAGAGCTTGCTGTGTGGGATAGTTTCTGGTTTTCATTTTGAATCTATTGATGACAGCAACCTCATTATGCACCTTCCATGGACTTCTTAAAGGTCAGAATAGGTCACTGGCCTAAAATGACCCAGGCCATTATTTTGTTTTAAGAACATGCTGTCTATCGTAAGCCTTGACGTTTACTGAATGCAAAAATCAAAGCAGCCTTGTATGATTTTGGTCACCACGACCCTCGAAAGGTCACACAAGGTCACTGGCCTTAAGAGAGCACCAGTGACCTTTTCCTGAAAACAGGTATGTAGGCTCACGCTGGTTGCACGAGAAAATCTGGGAATTCTTTGGACATTAATCTGGAACTCGACTTTGCTTGACCTTATTTCATCCAGAGTTGAAATGACCCAGGAACATACAATTTTGACACAAGTAAGCTCACGTACAAGCCAACACACCCTATGAATTTGGTATCTCAAGCTTTCTTAGTCTTTGAGATCTCTGCGGGGTTTCAAGTTGATCCCCCAACCATGCGGAGTGCATTCAACCGGCCACGCGGGCGCGTGTTAAGGTTTTGAATTACGCTCCAAAATTATTCTGCGTGCGCATGAACGGAAATGATACCTCATATGGGTTTGCGGACTTCGGTTCTCTTAAGGTTCTTGGAGTACCTGACCTAGGATTTCGGGCATTCCAGATATTTGCAAAGAGAGTTATTAAGCGTCCCAACACTCCGCCGGGCTTACTTAGCGGGTAGGATATCTAAATCTCATTTTTTCCTAACAATAACTTCAAAAATTGTCATTCAGAATGTCCTGAGCTATTGTATTAGTGTTGCCATTGAATTCAGAATTAGATTGTATTCAGAATAATAGTATTGCTATTGTATTCAGAATTGATTGAACTAACACATTTGTAAATTTCATAACTATAGCTCAAACGGAATTAGCCTGAAGTGACCTGTGAAATCTGGAATAATTCTACCTCATTAACTTTCGGAGCGCGTTTAAATTTACCACCGGAAGTGGTAAAAGCACCACGTTTGTCATAGTTGCCTGGAGCGAACACCGGAGAACCCCACAAAACCTACTATTAGCTTACGATGGTTAGCTATGGCGGATATTCTAAAACATATACATTTCACAATGCAGATCTCCCGTGCATATCCAGCGCGAAATTATGTGCCAGGTCTCGTGCTATCCACCTCCGAAAATAATTTAGAAATCAACCAACTGGTCAAGGAGCAATCGTTTTGTCCAAGCTGTTTAGAATTCACACGAGGCGATCAGACCCTCACTTCTGGAAGCTGACTCACCATATTACCGGCATAAAACTGTGCGACCAGACGTAAAAACGGCAAGAAACTAAAACACCTTGTTCTGGTTGAACTTTGAATTCTTACAGCAGTCAGAAATTCTGGGTGTAATTTTTACGTGTTTTATGGTTTGCTTGCATGTTGAAAGGCAAGCCATTCAACACTTCCAGTAAAGTTTTCTACGAAGGATGGCGTTTACATTGCCCATTGAATGGATACTCATGCGTCTATCCAGTTTGGATAGAAGCCGAGTTGTGCTCTACGATACCAAAATATACGATCTAATTATATGATGTAACAATATGATGCGATTCAAATTCTATTTTAAAATTCATACACGATGTAGTTCGTTTGTTGCTACTCGCCGTCATTCATTTGACGTAGATTTCGATAGGTTGTAAGACGTTGATTTTAAAAAGTAGTTGGCACGTCAACATTGCATACCAGGCGGAGCCGAATTTGCAGGGTGCCGAACACAGACCGATTTTGAACATTCAGGAGAAAAAACGAAATGTAACGAAGCTGGACTGAACAACATCAAACTGAACAGCTCCACATAATGAGTAGAACAAATATTCATCATCTAGATGTTCGTCTAGTCCCATGTCCCATTCACAACCACGCATATGCTTGGACACCACACGTAATGCTGGACAGGCACCTACGCAAAACTGCGAATACCCTATCTGCATGCCTCGACCAAAATATGTAGGTAGCTAGCTTCTACTCACAGCTCACACTTCTCACGGGCCGAATGTTACATTCAAATTTAACTGCACTTACCAACTACTCACCATCCCTCTGACAAAACACACACCGGGACACGTACCAAGATGGTTGACTGCTCAATGCCATAATGTCGCATTTTAAAGCAAACCATGCCACTTTGACAAACATGAATTTATGCACAAAGATAATAAGGACGCCATTAGTTTTTAGATCACCAATTCTGCAGTCTGCACCGCACTGTTTTTGTTCATACGAGAGATGTTTGAAATTATACTACTCGATTAACTTACTTATTTGTCTACTCCAATGAACAAAACTGATGCACAAACTCAGCTGGACGGTGACATGACGCCGTGAAAGGTTCTTGTAATGAGCTTACGTCTTCCGTGAGCGGAGAGTTTTGTTTCACGCAGAGGAGACAGCGCAGTAAGGACGAGGAGCATAGTGAAAACTGAACTTAACTGACGCTTCAACAAACTCTGAGACAGCGAAGTGTGCCCACAAACTGTCTCCCCTCATGGTGGCGCTGAAAAGGTCTAGACCACTAAAACATATTTTCCATTTCCAGTGCTGTATCCGCGCGATTTCATCGCAGTCAACATTTCATGCAAGAATGTGTTGAATAGAATGAGAACGTAGCAATGCACTTATGGCAATGAGAACGTTTCAGCCTCACCTCATGGAGAGCAGGCACTGATAATAGCCTCCCACGCTCGCGGGCGAGTGGACGCCTTTCTACCTCTGAATCAACTGGTCGAAACGTTGTCCATGCTAACACACCAAGGAGCCAAGCTAGTCCTAAGAACTATTATTTCGCGACCCTTATACCTCGTCTCAATCATTTCATACAACTATGACAACACGGGCACACAGCTATATTAGCTACAGCAAGAAACACAGGACGTCGTAGTCCGTTGCGCAGGGCGTGCCCAGTACGACACAGTTTATATCGCGATTCGCAGACGTCCAGAGGTATGGTTCCAGAAGGCTGGTCTGAACAAAGCACATCATTAGCGACTGGTTCCGTGAACATTCGCGTAGCGCGCGATAAGGACAGCTTTCTGGATGGTGACACGCTCGCCTACTGCCAGACGCAAAACGCAAGCGCGGATATGCTCCCAGTAGAAAGGTTCGAGAATTAAGATGCATCAACAAAACCCATGCCCAAAACGCTGACCGCATCACCTCCCCGCCAGCTTAGGCAGCGAGTGCAAAACACACGGTTTGCAGCATCCAAGATCAATCTGTCCCTTACTATCCGACCGGATGCAAAGAGCAGGTGCCCAACCTGAAGACGATTCGAAACAGGCTCCAAAAAATGTAAAAAGCATCGCTATCAACCTCGCTTCATCGCCCTAACGAGGCGCTGTCAGGTGCAGGCGGAGGCACTTACCGAGTGGCCGCTGGGCAGAGGCTGACCCACAGCTGACCGCCGGGCCGGAGACAAGTCGGCGGCCGGCCGGCGCAGCGGAGGCTCGTTCCCTACTGACTGACGGGCGGATTTATACCACGCTTGCCCGCCACGCGCGATTTATAGAGATATTGGCCACGTCACACGCCCGGCGGCGATGACTGGGCCACGATTGACCTGCGCGGCGGAGGCTGATCCACGACTGACTGACGGGGCCGATGCTGATCCACGACTGATTGACGGGGCCGACGCTGGTCCACGAATGACTGACGGGGCAGAGCTGGTCCACGACTGACTGACGGGGTAGAGCTGGTTCACGACTGACTGACGGGGTAGAGCTGGTCCACGAATGACTGACGGGGTAGAGCTGGCTCACGACTGACTGACGGGGTAGAGCTGGTCCACGAATGACTGACGGGGTAGAGCTGGTTCACGACTAACTGACGGGGCCGATTTTGGTCCACGACTGACTGACGGGGTAGAGTTGGTTCACGACTAACTGACGGGGCAGATGCTGGTCCACGACTGACTGACGGGGTAGAGCCGGTTCACGACTGACTGACGGGGCAGATGCTGGTCCACGACTGACTGACGGGGTAGAGCCGGTTCACGACTGACTGACAGGGCAGATGCTGGCACACGACTGACTGACGGGGCAGATACCGGCACACAACTGACTGACGGGGCGGATACCGGCACACAACCCACTGACTGAGCAGATGCTGGCGTACCACTAACTGGCGGGATGGAGACTGGTTCACCATTGGCCAGCAGAAAAGAGCAGGCCCGCTGCCTCCTTCTGCGCTGAATTTCTAGGCACTTAAATCTCTAGATAAATGCATTAGATTAATGTGAAAAGGAGCATGACATTTGGAATCGTAAAAATGTATTTTTCAATAGTTTAACGAACAACACCTGCAAGCAGTATAACCACCGGGTTACAGCAGAAAATAAAATCACTTTTAGCAAAGCCTACTAGTCTTGCCAGTCTTCATCGCACCGTGGCAAATGCACCTGGCTGACCTTTGCCGGGACACGGGGATATCACTTCCTAAAATTGGTTGAGAGGATCAGCCGATAAGGGTGGCGTAAACTACTTCCGAAACCTGATTTCTTACGGATTTTAAACGCTTTAATTTGCATTCCCGATGACACGGATAATTCTGCAATTTGGCCAATAAGAGGTTGCTTTAAGGAAGAATGACTTCACATCTAAAGCCAATGTGAAACTTTGACTTTGAGAGTTTAGAATTGGGTGTAATCTACAGAACACATATAAGTAAGGCGGTTCGATATGATCACCGGAAATAGGTAGGGTGCGCGGGGCGTAAAAAAACAACATTGCATGCAGCACGGCGCGGCCTAACACGTCCGGACTAGGTAAGAGTGCATCCATGGTACATTTTCCGCAGGGAGGCCACGGAAAATGTAGCACATACGTTGTCAGAAGGCATCTGGGCACTTCACGATAAATCGATAAGTGCTTTGCAGCCTCACGCTTCAGATTTCGGTCAAAATGGGTCACATGGGTTGTCGTCAGCACTGAAGGCGTCTGTGACATTTCTAAAAGTCTAAGTTGCACCGTTGCGGAGCCTTCGGCAGTTTCGAACTGCGTAGTTGCATGGCTACCTTTGGGGACAGGTTTTGCTACTTGCTTCAAAAGGTAGTTTCGCAAACTTACACATTGGCATGATCAGAAACCGTCCCGCATTTTGTATGCCACCCTTGAAATCGCTATTGCACAGTACATGATAGTAAGGACTTTATGAACCTTTGCAAGGCACGAGAAACAACTTTTCTGATACTGATTTTTCTGTTATTAAAAAGGTCTCTGAGAATGCCGTAGGGCCCTGCATTCAAATAAGAAATACCCAAGACCCGGCGAGGAGGGCTCTCAAAAGATCGGGTGTGTCTGAGCAGGTAATCAGGTTGCCCCGTACAGGAGTGTAGGGCCTTACCTTCAAATACCCGATGTACTGGGCCCCCCAAGCAGTCCAGCGTGCCCGAGCAAGTTAACAGATGAGGCCCCGATAAGTGTGTAAGGCTCCATTGAAAAACAAAGCAACCAAGATCCAATTTGGAGGGGCCCGACCGACCGAGTGTACAGATTTACAGGTTAACATCTGGACCGGCGGCGAGAGCCTAGCGCCCTAAGCAAGTGACAGAAAATTGAAAGCGTCCTAGACTTGTGTAGAGGACCCATGAGGATATCACGAGTGCGTCGTTCAAGTTAACCGAGAGCAACATGAAGAGCCCCTGAGCAACCGAGAATACCGCGGCAGGTTAACATATGGGGCCTCCGGCTATACCAAAGTCTTTCGAACGAATGAAAATAATTCGTGGAATGCCCCAGAATGACAAGAGCGTTTCGGCACGGTAGCAGAAAATGCCCAGCAACAGCCAAGAGCCCTCCAGGCAAATGAAAAAAAGTAAATGCAGCGTGGGAAGCCCCGTAATGAGCCGATTGACCCTGCAAATGGCCATGTAGGTCCCCCGAAAGCAGCATTGGGCCTCTGGACAGCGTAATGAGTCTCATATTTCAGTCTTGACCTACTCAATCAGTCAGTATTTTCTTTTTGTCTACTCGTGGGCCCTTCACTTTTGCTTGCGACTGTTCGCGGACGCCTGGAAGCCAAAAAATGTCCAACTGTGTTGCGTTTTTTGTTAAAAAATGCGTCTGTTCAGCCCGCTTTGGGCCCCTTTGGAGCCTATGGGAGCCTTCGCGGGGGCCCAAGGGTAGGGCCCACGGACCTTGGCCCCCGAAGGGACTGCAAGAGACCTATTATATTACGTTTTTCTGTGTGCATTTTTCTCTCAGCAGATTGAGACGTGTGGCGAGCCCCAATCCAAGCTGGACTCGCTGTCATTTGGAGGGCTGATCGAACTGGCACGAACTTTACACTAGCACCACCAGTCCAAGCTACCCTACGACCATGCGAACTGCTCGATGGTGTGGTGACATTCATCTGTGTGCATAGCTTTTCAGTTATAAACGGAAGTTTCAGATATACACAGCATGTCATAGTCACTGCAACTTGCACGAGATGCTGGGTGCTGAGAAATATGGAGAAGTATTGCTGTTGTTTTCTTCAATAGCACTTGGTAGTACTTTTATCATGAGCTTTGTGTGCACCGGCAACGTCATCACTTCCTTTCATTTCGCCCATTTAACCATAATTACACGCACTTGTCATGTCTCCGGCAGTGAGCAAGGTCAGCAGGTTTCCAGTGTCATTTCACTACAGGTTAACATTTTCTTGTTATGCATGTGTTATTACTTGTGCGAACAATATTTTTGAGGGGAACAGCCTGAAGGCCGAGCATGTTGGATGGCTGTGGAAGCTGAAAACGTGTTTGCATCTGTCACCTCTGTTTTGTGGATTCCCAAAACAGACTGAGCGAGTGATGTCACTTATTGGTTTTGAGCTTTGCTGAAAGTGATTTGTATATCGCATCATGTGTTTTTGGTCAGTCATATGTCAGATGCGGAATACAATAATGCATGCTTAACCCATTTTTCATGATGAAATTTATTATGAAAGCAGCAGGGATTGCAGTACAAAAACGGTATCATTGTTCACTATGACATGCCACAGTACAGCACCGAGGTAGTGCCACGATAACACTGTTGATCCGTGCCGTTACACAATGTACCCTATTGGTTGACTACTCTATGTCAAGCCTGTGAGATAACGGCTTATAATTTATGAATGTTGTAACAACTGATTTAACGACACCAAAGGATTATCACCAACGATAACCTGTTGCACCACGAGTGTTATATCGGGGTTAGCTTATAACTGCATACATAATCCTAAGCAAGAAAAACGTTCTAGGTAGCTCAACCGTACCACTTTTACCATAGAAATAATAATGCTTCAATTCATAGCAAGGTGACAGATTCATTAATTTTTGCATGCAACTGCATTTCCAGTCACAACTAAAAATTGAAAGTAACTACTGTGCACATCACATGATACCAATGTCAGGACTGCAGCACCGCAGGCAAGTGTAAGTCGGCAACACAGTACTGACATCAACAGTCCTTCGCAGGTTTCGGCACGGATTAATGACGGTATATGAGTTTTCACAGCATGTCGTGCTTCGATATTAATAATCTGCCCTGGAAGCTGGTGATCGCTGCGTTGCCTTTCCAAACAGCTCACCAAGGGCTCCGTCACGACCAGTACCGAGACAAAAAATCCACAGACAAGCCATTCGCTAGCCTGCCACCTAACACAGCACCCGCGACGAGAATGACCGGTTGGCGTTAGCTTTCGTGGGCTTCGGGGTATTCTTTAGGTCTAGCTGCTAGGTGTTGCCAGGTATTGCTATCGTCACAAAACCATTCCATGACGTCATCAAACAATGACGTTATGGGGCGCATTTGAATCTTGACAGCTTACCGATAGTTACAAGTAAGCTTTTCTCATGATGTTTGATGCCCATCCCAATGTCTTCAGATGTGGAGCATTCCCTTTAACCAGTAGCTACTGGCAAACTGAAGGCCGATTACACGCGCGTACCTGCTTATGTGCGTGCGTGCATCACTATGCAGCGGCAGACTCATACCAAGTAAGCACCATCTGGAGTCCATGGTCTAGGTTTTCCAGACCAGCTATTGGACTGGATGACCTTAAGCAATCCGTCAAAAACTGCGGATAAAGTTGTTAGATAAAGACATGCTTAACTAGCCTTGCAGAAGTGCACGCTCCTATTCGGTTGCACGGGGGCTCCAGCGCCCCACGCCACACTTTGGCTTCAGCCCACAATTTTTAGCAGGAAATGGGCAAAATCCGGCGAGAAACCCATTTGTTGACGCATGTTGCGTGCGGGTTGCACTATTTTGGAGTATCGCGCACAAGACACGTTTCATCGTAATCATTTTCTTACCTCTGCTCACTTGGAACGCCGGGCATTCCCACACATTCCTATTGTTGCTTGCTATTTCCGTTTCACTTGCACCTGCTGGTATGATGAGGACCGATTTCTCAGAAGTTGCAAGATCTGAAAAAAGTAATCAATCCCACGTGGCAGACTAATGCCCGGAGGCGACGTTCTCATGGCGCCCGGAAACCGGCGAACCGTACAACGAGACAAAACCAAGATAAACCCCCGATGACTGGCGCGCCCGAAGCATGGAACAGGCAGAGCTCCGCGCGCTCACCAGGTCCGTTAGCGACCCACGACAGCTCGGTAAGCCACCCGGGTGTCTGCATGCCGAACGAGAGCCTCGCTGACGCCGCTCAGGCTGGCCAAACTATGAAAGGGAGGAATTCGAATTTATACGGGGTTTTGAGCTGAAATAGCCATCTTGAAGACCTTTCGGTGGTGTTCGCAATCGTGCCACTCTAAGACCTAATCTCCCTGAGTTTCTGAGCTGCACGCCCGCGAAAATAGGGAAACGTATATCGGAAAGAGTATTTCAAAGTCACCTCGGCATTCATGGCGTCACAATATCGTTATTCAAATCTTGCCATCCCATAAGCCATGCGGTGAACAAGGCAAATAAAAATATAAGTGTCCGGGCGTTCATATTTGGCATTTGTTATGCGATTTCCAGATATAACGGCCGCCAACCGGCTCTCAATCACTGTTGTACAAGGTACGATAACGTAACCAAACCACGACGCACTGGAGCGCATATTTACTACACAGATAATTGTGGTCTAGTCGCGTCCGTTTCACTGAAAAGTATACCATTAATTATCAGTGAACTAGTTTCACCATATCTGATGCCTCAACATCTCCGAACGTGAAGCATTCCCTTTAATACAAGGCTAACGTGGCCGCCTGCGCTGTACGCATAGCTGGATCTACTTCATCGAAACTGAGAAGGCTTGTGGTTATCGCAGCCTCAGGTGTCGCTGACATGGCTGGGTGAACTGCATGACGCTAGGATGCTGAAATGAAGAGGTTATAATGCTTATCGACATCCCTCACAGCACGCATCGGTTTAACACGCAATATGCGTATTTGCCACGCCTCCAGAGCGTTTACGAACGTCTGCCATCGCTTTTCAGAGTGTATAAGCAGACATGTTGACTTAAACAACATCTGCTCTCACCACCAGGCCTAGCGGCCAGCTCTCTGTCTCTCTCTCTCTCTCTCTCTCTCTCTCTCTCTCTCTCTCTCTCTCTCTCTCTCTCTCTCTCTCTCTCTCTCTCTCTCTCTCTCTCTCTCTCTCTCTCTCTCTCTCTCTCTCTCTCTCTCTCTCTCTCTCTCTCTCTCTCTCTCTCTCTCTCTCTCTCTCTCTCTCTCTCTCTCTCTCTCTCTCTCTCTCTCTCTCTCTCTCTCTCTCTCTCTCTCTCTCTCTCTCTCTCTCTCTCTCTCTCTCTCTCTCTCTCTCTCTCTCTCTCTCTCTCTCTCTCTCTCCCTCTCTTACCAGGACGGGAAGCGACCCTTTAAACGGGCCCAGTCATCTGACATGCTACAGCGTTCTAGATGTTGTATATCCGACCTGTCCGAATATGCTAGTACATATTTGCCCAACATACGTCTCGGCGCGAGAACATCGGCTCTGGAGTATATTACAGAACCAATACATATGCCCGATTTTCACATGGCGCACACATGCATGCGTATGCTATAATTTTTCCAATTTTGTTGACAACAATGCTGAATCTGCAAGGAATTTCACTCCGGAAACCCTGGCATACGTTGAAGATGAATGACACATGAATACTAGCACGGCTTGCGGATAATAACTTAACTGGCAATTTACTGTCGCGATAAACATCCGCTGTGATAATTTTGGCTTTGGGGCGCACCGACTACAATGGCCATATGGTGCTCATCACTGGACTGTCAGAGCCATATGGAAATAACTGAACTGAATACAATAACAGCGTCATAAATGCTTTCCTGATGCTCATAATGCACATAAGGCAACGGCAAGGTATACATCATGAGCCCCTTCATCAGTCACAACCTACACCACCAACGATCGTATAAAATCATTTGTGGAAGGGCGTTTTTCTAACCATCACAGTAGATCGACCAGTTTAACTCCACTCCCGGTGTCAGCGGAGCGGCAGCCTTGCCTCCAGTCCCGGTGTCAGCGGAGGAGCGGCCCCAGCTCGTCCCGGTGTCAGCGGAGGAGCAGCCTCAGCTCCAGTCCCGGTGTCAGCGGAGGAGCGGCCTCAGCTCCAGTCCCCCGTGTCAGTGGAGCAGCGACCTCAGCTCCAGTCCCGTGTCAGTGGAGCAGCAGCCTCATCTCCAGTCCCCGTGTCGGTTCAGCTCCAGTCCTCGTGTCAGTGGAGCAGCAGCCTCAGCTCCAGTCCCCGTGTCAGTGGAGCAGCAGCCTCAGCTCCAGCCCCCATGTCAGCTGAGCAGCGGCCTCAGCTCCAGTCCCCACGTCGGCTCAGCTCCAGTCGAGGTCGTCGGGCGGGTGGTCCGCGGCGTCGCCGTCGATCGGCGGCGGCGGGATGAGCGCCGACACCTTAGCCAGCGCGCCCGACGTCTCAGACCAGTCGGGGTGCGTCTTGTCGCCCGAGATGCCCTGCCAGGGTCGACAGGCGCCGCCGGTGAGGGACGCATCGCACGGTTGGTGATTCCGGTACATGACATAAGAAAGGCCTTCAGCTCCTGGTTTTCGGCAGTACAAATTTTAGAAGCTCGTATGTTGAGTCAAAGACCGTCAATATACCAGGACGTACTATTTAAACGACGTTGTATTGATACATGACGATTATGTCGACGATACTTAATATCCATGCGCACATCATGCGTGCTTGCAGCTGTTCTAATAAAAGGCAACACAATGCACGACGTTGCACACCCTTTTACCGAATACCAGCGACGATGGTGACCATAATAGCACTAGCATGAGCCGTAGCGCGAGCGGGATACAGACCCAAGCTCCCACGTGAGAGCCAAGAGTGCTAACCACTCGACTGTTACGCCCCCTGGCTGCTGCTGGCTGATCAGCTGGATGACAGCAGACCGTGATCAATGCTTCCGCAGGGAGCCGAGCGGAGGAATGTCCTTTGCCGAGTCCGCGCATAACGCCGTCTTAGACCCCACAAGTGCACAAGAGGGGCACCCAGTCTATGACACGGCCGGCCTTTACCGCACTGAGAGCACCCGCCATCAACCGCGAACGTTCCGAGAGCACTGCGAGCACACACACTGTCGTAAACTATCCAATCATCGCACGTCCGGTGACGAGCGCTGCTGGTGCGCGCCGGTACACTGACCTTTCGTCGTATGGAAAGCTTGGCAGCGAGGGCCGCCATTAGATCGCCGCTGGGAGGCGCGTCGGCATCCTGAAAGGCAAGGAAACGTGACGTCACCGCCATGCTCGACAGAGGGGCCGGCTGACTGCAGGCTCTACCTCTGGCGAGGGCAAGGACCAAACCTGGTCATCAGCGAAGCTCATAGTCGGCATCAGCGCGGCTGTTGGGTCTCAAGGATCATTCGCCAGGTACGAACAGGGATATTACACACTCTGGCGAGCGCGAATGGCGACCAACACTGTGTCACTGAGAGAAAGAAGCCACTTCACTTCGGCAGCCATCTGGTAAGCCTGACGAGCACCACCAATTTCTGAGGCAGTATCCACGAGCTGTTCGCAATGATCAGAAACCTGCGACTAGCTTCAGGAAGGGGAGTTACGAATCTACGAACTTACGAAATTACGCCGCGTTAAGGCACGAAACGTTAATAAGCCAGTTTCACGAAAATTCGTAGCTTCGTAGTGTTGCAGTTCGTATACTCGACGGATGGCGTACATTTTGTTTAAGACGTGACTCTATTGTGCTTAAGGCGGTAAGCAGTTGGAAATAGAAATTTCGGTTCATATTTACATGCAATGTCGTAAATCAAACGCGCATTATCAACAAAATAGCCTTCAACAATTGGAAAGCGGGGAAAATAATAAGAATCCCTCACACCTAACGTAGAGAAGGCAAACTGTGCAACAATGTTTACATGCATAAACAACGCAATGCTTACGATATATGCCGCACTTCGATGAGCATCAGTACAGCTAAGGCAGCTAAAATATATGCGGAGTTCATCATCTTAAGTTAAACAAGCAAACGTTAACCAAAAGCAGAAGTACGTGTTGGAGAATTGCCGATCGGCATGCATTAACAGCGCTCATATTGTTTAGGGTAACAATGAAATACTAAATATTGTTTATCTGTATCACAAAATATCTTCAAATTCTCAGCAAAAAACGAGAACAAAAACAAAACAAGGCGACACCCCTGCTGAATGGCCCTAAACTGCAGCTCTCCGTTCCAGTGTCATGGGGTCTTTATCTTCTTGGATCAAGGCACTTTAGTTTGGAGCTCTTCGGCCGTATAGCAGAACTTCAAGTGATTATATAAGGGCATGACCGCAATGCTGCAACAACGCCTTGAATAATTCGATCTACCCAAAGTTGCTGGTGTCCGGACCCCAGAGGAGCGAGAGCTGAAAGACCTACTCAGTGCAGACCCTCTCAGCGACTCCAGTGGTGGCCACGCCTATTATATATGGATATATATGGATATTGGCGGGGCGACGGCTGATGTCGGAGCCTAAGTGCTTGCGTGTGTGAGAGGAGGCACATATAAACCCTGCGGCTGTGACCATGTTCAACAAGCCCATATCCTCCCCAGATTTTGTCGCGATGCAGCCACCACGCGCGCCGAATGTTGTGAGGGATCCCAGGCAGATGGGCACGCCCCCCCCCCCCCCCCCCCCATGGTTCCGACGGGCCCACGGCGCGATTACCAAGGGCCTAAATTTGAGGGTGAGGAGGGCTGTCTGGAGGTTTTATTACGACCTCGGGCGGCCAGCCGGCAGCGCTGGGCCTTCGAATGACAGTCAGCGGGCGGCGCTCCGATTGGGGCCCGCTAAGACGATGAGGGTCTCAATAGCGGTCGGAAACCAACAAAACCGAAAATTCGGCTCCCTATCAGTCTGGCTCCATGGGGCCATTTCTCGAGCAGAAGCGAGGTGAATTGCTTCTTGCTCCCCCCTTGCTCCAAGGTGAAGAAAACGACGGCAAATGTCACTGAAGGTCAATTGCATTAGCTGAGGAGTTGGGGGAGGGCGGGGGGAGGGGGGGGGGGGGAGGTTGCGGGCTGGAAAACCCAACGGCCCTAGTGTCTGTCAGGACACAAGGGCCATTAACGCATCTGTCTGTCTGACGGTGCCCAACAGCGGGTCCTACGTCGGCAAGAAGCCCCGAGTCGTCCATGGGCATATTTGCAGAACAGGGACAGCGACGGCACCGGGAATGGCAGAGGGTCTCTTGTCTTGGTTGGGGGGTCAGATAATGAAAGGGAATAAAAAATTTCATGTTAATTCGCCTCCGTCGTGTTTCAGCCGGGGGCCCGATGCGTTGAAATTGGGCTCCGTGCCAAGATTTTCTTCATTGGTCATTGCTATTCAAAAATAAATCACCACGTTCGCCTAAGCTGTTCATACGTCTTATAATGGCATCTACTGAGGTGGCCAATTACCACGACTGAGAAGACATTCCCACGACATTTTGGGCGACTGGGAAACATATATAGCCATAAGTTCCTAAAAGTGGCAGGGGGATGTCAAATTTTATCCGAACTCCCCACAATTTGAACCAAATTCTCACAACATTGCCTAGTATCCTTGTAAATATCTTGGCTCAGGGACATCGTGCACCTGTGCCCCCTCCCCCCCCCCCCCCACTGACTACGTCCCTGCTACACATTACGTGTGCTACGCCAGTAGACATGCTAAAATGTAGTATGATTGCCAGGAACTGTCCCATTGTAGGGCCTCCGAAATACAAAATTGTCTATAGCGGTAATATCCTGCATCCACACTCAGCTCTGATCACATTATTATCCTTCTGCTTTTAGCTAGGTTTTATAGTGTATTTTTATATATGAGTACTTTCTTATAAAAAATATTAGTGTCTCAGTAAAAAGTTAAAGACCATTTCCATCTTTCAGGGTGGTAATCAAGAGCACTTCTAGGATGAAATTCAGGGCAGTCATTTAACCACAACAATGATATACTGATAAGTATATGCAGGATGGTTGATACACAAGTCAGACACTGTAGCACTCCAAGTTGGAGAGCGTTTAAAGTAAATCAAGACATGAACGTAGCGCGTCCCAACAGTCACTTCATAACTTGCTGTATTTTAGGTTTCATCACAAGGTCACTGCAACTTCTCGAGTCTCGTTCTTCGAATCAGGTTGGCGGTTGCACATCGACTGCGGTAGGTTATGCAGTGCCCATAGCGCCCAGTGTACGACCACTTCATGCAGGACAGCAAAACCAAGCAGATATATGAAACAGGCTGCCCGCTAAGGTCTTGAAGGTCGGGCATGGTCTCATGGTAAAAATATAACTGAAAAATATACAGCGCAAAGGAAACACTTTCCTGACATGACAACATGAGACAATGCCCTAAAAAGTGACACAATGTGCGACTATAGCCGTTGTGCACTGGTTGTGTTGCCAGGTTGCCCAACGACTGTGGGCGTTGTATGAAGAACTGCACTCAGGTTGCAGTAAGGTGGTGCCAAGCAACGAGTGCGTGATGCACAGTCAGCGGGTCACAGCATAGCCTGTAGCGCGGTCTGTCGCGAGCCAATAACACGTGCCGATGCATTGCGTATGTGTGGCCTACGCGCAATCGGCAAAGGACAACTTTCTCCCTCCTATTGTTGCGGAAACACCACTGCCGCAATCCGATAAGGAGTTTTCGTGACTTCAGCTTGTTAGCACTCAGCGAGCCCTAGCGGTGCTGCCATCGCTCCTGCATATATGGTACTGCGGGCGCATGTCTCGAGCTGGGAGTGGTGTTACAGGAATGCGTGTCCCAGTTGTATCGCGCCTCGCTGCTGCGTCGGCAAGATCGTTTCCCTAGATCCCCAAGTGACTTGGGATCTAATACAGTCCGACCGTTTTCAGACTCGATCCAATGAGGTAAGACGCGACTGAATGTCCTGGACCAGTGGATTCGACGTGGCGAGGTCATGCGTCGACTTGTAGATAACAACCGGACATTCCTCATTTCACATGTGCCATCCTCAGCATTCCTCCTAGGCATCAATACATTGTCGAACACGTGGATAGCTCTCTCATTGTCTGTTTGGAGCCAGGACTATAAGGGCGCGCAATCTGCTCACTAAAGGACATCTGTTTAGGGGGAGTGTCCCACCTTCGGGGCATATTTTAAAAGCATACTCTACTGAAACCCCAGGACCAGTCATACTTAATAATAGCAGTGGGTAGTGCCACTGGGGCATCGTCTAGAGATAATAATGACATCCACTTTAATGATTTTCGAGCCACAATTGCGTTCTCAACGCTTCGTAGCAACACTACGGTTCTTACCTGCAGTTGCCGCGAAAGCCGTCGTCATGAAAACCGCCGTGGCACCTCTACTGGTGCGAATAAAAGAACGCTTGGGATTGGCCCAGCGGAAGGCAGGGACCTGCTATCCAGAAGCGCATTGGCCGGAGTTAGAACCACTCCGTCACTTTGGACCATGTGATACTCCAATTCCCAAAGCCAAAGTACGCCTCAAAAAGAGTCGCTGTGGTAAACGCCATGAGGGAAAATCAGAGCCCAAGTAGAGTGTTTCGCTGAATTTGCGGGATAATAGTTCCATGTTCAAATATCTTTTTATATAAATGTTCCAAGCTTCGTCACATTTGTTACACATACATTTTAGTTCATTATTGCGTCGCAAATATTACAGAACACACACGTTGGAAAAGACAAGGCAAATGAAACACACTACTTTCATTGTGGTGAGCAGGGAGACCAATGACATTTCTCCCGCAGAAGCGTCTGCCTCAAATATCGCATGCAATCAGTAAGCATGCCAAAAATATCCTGTAACGGGGGGGTCAGATCCTAGTCGGGACTAGACCTGGCAATCCCATGGTGACGCACCAGGGGATTGCCCCAGGGCGTCGACGTGTTGAACGGCACCGCAATACGTGCTTTTTAATGATCGTTTTTTAGAATGCTTCTAAGCTGTTCTCTCCAATAAAGTAAGTGTCAGGGCGTATGCTAGTATGTCTCCTAGCCATACCTGTGGTTAAAACAGCTGTGGCTGGTCAAATGTTCCAACACCAGCCCGTATTCCCATACCATGTTTTACATCCAATAAGGATGACCTTCACCAACGTTAGAGACGATTATCACCCCTACTGTCACGGAACGTTCCTAACTGCGGTACAGGTGCGAATTACTTTAAACCGGTGATACGTATAAACGAGCGGTCAGCTCAATGGAGGGGAGATACTTGAGTGTGCAACCACTGAGAAGG